AATAAGAACAGGCATAGAGATACATACAAGGGGAAGAAAGACGCCATGTGAGGATCAGCTACAAGCCAAGGAACCCCAAAGAACAAAGGAATGCCTGGGACGAAGAACAAGGAAGGGCTTGAGGCAGCTGACACCCTGATTTGGACTCAGCCTCCAGAGCTGCGAGAAAATCAATTTCTGTTATTTAAAGCCATCCACCCGTGGTATTTTTGTTATGGCAGCAAGCGGTAACTAAGATAGGATGTTTAATGAGAAAAAGACTATAGAATAGTTCAGAATGAGGAAGAGTTTTTGACTTTTATTTAGCCATTGTCTAAATGAACTCTAGGTCTAGTTTCTGTTGCAAGGTGTCTGTTCTGCGTCCACAGGCACAGTGATTACACGTGTGTTTGTGTGTGGCGAGAGGTCTCCCTAACTGGTCCCCCCGTCTTGGCTTCCTTAGGCTGCCCCACTCCCCGACTAAGCCAGCAAAGTCTGAAGCTCAGCCCTTACGGAACCCAGAGCTCCATGCAGGCCAGAAATGTGAGTTCTTGAGAATAAAGCCACTGGGCCAGACAACTCCCACTTTTCAATCCTAGTAGAATATTAGAATTTCCATGGAAGGCCAAGGCACGTGAATAATAGTGCTACAACAAACAAACAAAAACTTTCGAGTTGCATAGTGCTTTACAGTTTACAAAGCCCTTATTTAATCTTAAAGAAAACCCTGAGGAGTGGGTTTTAAAAATTACAGTATTATCCCTACCATACAGGTGAGGACATCAAAGTGAAGAAGGATTAAGTGACAAGCATGAGGTAGCACGGCAGGTCATTAGTGAAACAATCCAGGTGCCCCACATCTGGCACAAAAAAGGCACCTGGCTTAGTAAATACTGGATGACTGAATCAGGCTCAGTAAATACTGAATGAATGAATCAGGCTCTGTAAATACTGGATGAATGAATCAGGCTCAGTAAATACTGGATGAATGAATCCGGGTCAGTAAATAAAATGAAGGAACAAACAAATGAACTGAGCCTCACATCTAGTCCTCTCAACTGCAAATCCCATGCCCACTGAACATGCCATCTTTTCTGAATGTATTTGCAGTTTTCCACCTCCTGGGTTAGTGTGCCTAGTCTATGCCAGGGAGAGTTGGAATTAAGCTTTCAAATATCACCTTTTTACTCTGCAGATGTGAAATTTATGTCTTAAAATTCCAAGAAGGAAAATAATGGCATTTTATTTCATTGGCCCTTAAAAATATGCCTTGTTCCAAAAGGTTGAATCTATAAACTTTACTGGAAATGTGGGAATGGGTGCCAGGAATTCCTAAGCTCCGTGTCTGCCTGGGCCAGGATACGGCCGCTCCTCCTGTAGATCAGGGGTTGAGAAATATTGCTATTGGACACTTACTGGAAATTCTAAGCCCCTTGAAAATATGCCTCCATTAGGAGAGGCTTGACAAGAGACGCACAGGCAGCACTTAAATTTTTCTGTTGATCCCCCCTTTGTGGCGTGGCCAGATGCCCTACCACTGAGTACATTCGATATTTTTCTGTTTCTCCAACTTCTAGTTGGATTAATCCCTGGAGTATCTTGAAATTTCCTAAAGATTTCCTCCCATGAAATGGGCTACAGGATTAAAAAGGCCAACAGAAAAGACATTTCTAGTCTGGGTTTTCACACTTCCAGTAATGGACTGGAGGTAGATTATGTGCATTTCAGTTACAGGAAGGAAAATGAAAAGCACATTGGATTGGCAAATCAAGTATTCCTATGAAGTTAGAGCAAAGGCAGATGAATGAACTGTTCCTTTATATGGTCCTAGTTTAAGGTGATCTCTTTCCTTGAGAATTAAAAAAAGATCCATAAACCAGAGTCAGACTTTACAAAAGCTAAGTGAAAGGACCGCAAGATAATGACTCCTTCTGCATATCTTAGTTTTCTTGGATAATGACAACAATACCAACAGTTAGCATGTGCACAGCTGCGACAATGCAAGGGTGAAGATTCCCACTCGGGATGGTAATTCATTTTGTGAAGTCTTTCAGGCACTCGCCAAAAAAACTGACTTGAACCTAAAATAAACTGACAAAGACTTTCCTGAATTAACTTGAGGTGCTAATTACACCATTTAATTTTATCCAGATTACATGATCCAGGAGAAATGACGGCTTATGCTAAATGTAAAGAAAAATGCAAGCAGGGGCAGGAGACAGAAACAAAAGATAAAGCCAGGGCGTGAATGCTCCAAGAAAGACTGTGGTAATCTTACTTTTACAGATGGGTAAATTCAAGGCCGCCATTTGGAACTGCGAGGTATACAGGAATTTTCCTATTTATGGAAATGCCCAAGCCGGGGATCCCAAAATCTCGTTTGTTCCAACAACCTCTCGTGGAATAAATGCAATTCATGTTCTCTTGGCCCCGAGGAGAAGCTGTTACATTTAGGCAAGCACAAGACTCCTGAAGTGCCACATTCAAGGTCTCTGGACACATTACAGAGAAACTAATTCAATTTTCACCTTTCTGTGTTTTAGAAAATCGGTACTAAGAGAAAGCTCAGCCCTTTGACCGGGTACTATTTCTTAAGGAATGTTCGCACTGCAGACAGAAGTATAGAAAGAGGAGGCTGGCTAGGATTCTGGAGTTTTACACGCAAGAGGCAGTCAGGAAATCCTGCAGCCTGGTAGAAGGTTGGGAAGGCGACGTCTCCTCCCAGCTTCACAGCCAATCACGCAGATAGGGCTGTGTGTGCCCGATCCTTCGGCCCCGAAGGCAGCTAAGGGTGTGATAAGGCTTAAGAAGGGAGCCACATAGCTGAGGGCTGGAAGGGAGCAGCCTCGGTTAAGACACGATGTTCCTAAATCCCCTACTTTGGCTGACGGATGCTCCAGCTGGCTGGCGTGCTAGTCTGCAACTTGCAAAGCAGGCTGGAAAGATGGTTTTGCTTGCCAAGACCAAAGCAAGTAGGAAGCTAGCAGACAGAGCGAAGAGATTTGGTGCATTTTGTTGATTGAGTTTTATCCCTCGCCTGCTTTGCGACATTAAACTGGACCCATGAGAAGTGGTGAGAGAGCTGTTCGATCTTCTCCATGGTGTCCATCCATCTGAACACTGTAGGTGTTGGTGACGGAGTGGGAATACTGTTGCCTCAATATCACCCTTCCAACTCACCTTCATGAAACACCCTCCCTCCCCCTTATCAATCAGACAACAGCAGGCATCTTAGACCAGTAGGGTCTCACCATGCGGTTCCTGGACCAGCAGCAACAGCATCACCTGGGATGGGGTTAGAAATGCAAAATCTTGGCCTCATTCCTGACCTACTGAATGAGAAACTCCAGAGGTGGGCCAGCAATCTGTGCTTTCATAAGCCCTCCAGGTGATTCTGGTGCACACTCAAGTTGAGAACCACTAGATGAGACCAAGCCAATCAGGTAAACCAGGTATACCCAGCTTGCACACGAGGAAAGGGAGGAAGGGAGGGAGGGAGTGAGAAAGAAAGAGACTCAGAGAGACGTATCCAGTCTACTGATGGCTGTCTATGTGATAAAATTAAGATGCTTTCATATCTGTAGCTCAAATGAGGTAAAATTTGCCAGGGGAAAAGGGACATAGGGCCATGGTAACATTCCCAAGAGCTTCACGGTCTTTAGGAGGACGGTGCCCAGGTAGGAAAAACATCTGCTAATTGGGGTCGGGCTGCCCACCCAGAGGAAGGAGCTGTCACTTCTCTCCTGCCATGGCTCTATTTTATACACAAATCTCCTGATCCCCATCTGGAAATTCTTCATCTTTCTAGAGACACGGAGAGAATGGAAAATGGAGATGGGCTTGAGGGAGGGGAAGAGGTGAGAGAGGGGGCTGGAGCAGGCCCATTACCAGGTTTAGCCCAGAGAACTGCTCCACCGCTGAGGAGCATGCAGGGTTGGAAGGTTCTTGAAAGGTCACTAGTTCAGTCACCGGGAGACAGTGCGTGTGTCATCACCATCATGGAGCTACAACTGGCTGAGCAGCCAGCCTCCTACATGCCAAGTAGCATATTAGGTATTTTCCATATAATGTTTCTAGTCTTTCCAACAACCTGCAGCTTGTGTGCAGAAGAGGAAATTGAAGTTTAGAGAAGATAGGCAGCATGTCCACTATTAGACAGTTAATAAAGGGCTGAAATAGGATTCTCACCCAGGTCTGACTTCTCCCTTACCTGATACTTGATAATATCCCTCTACAACATTTGTCTGATGATTTCAATCCACCCAGTGCCTGAATACTTCCAGGGACAAGGTGCCCCTTACATTCTAGGGCAGTTCATCTTTGGACTATTAGAATGTTCTTTTTTTTACTGATACCAAATCTACCTCCTGGTAGAGTCCACACACTGGTCTTAAGGTCTTGGTTCTATCCTTTGCAACTCCATAGCACACATCAAATGCCTTTTCAAACTGATAGATCTTTGAATATATGCACAGAGCTCCAGAATCTTCACTTCCTCAGGCTAAAAAGCCTGGGCTCATTTTGCCATTCTATTTTCTGTTCTAGAAATCAGGCAGAGAGGCTCTCATGTTAAAGCCTTGAAGATTAGTATTCATAAGCAAACATCGACATCTCGCAGAATACTGCAATGTTATTCTTAATGTCTAAAGGCTCTGTCAGCTGTTGTGTTTATGCAACTACAGGCACAGACACGAATCAATAACCCATTGTCCCTCCACCGTGCCAGAGGTCAGAAAAGGTCAGAGAAATCAGATCCCAGGGACAGAGGGGAACCCTCGTCTCAGGTTTCCAAGATAAGCCTTCTCTGGAGACTGAAATGAGTTGTGTGCTACCAACTTGGCTGCTTATTTAGAAATGTCAGCCAAGGACCCCACAGCCTTCGGTTCCAGATTACAACACTTGGGTGGAAAACGGAACTTCAGAATCACACAGTGATGACCCAAAAAAAAACCCCCTGAACCTTGGTGCAACTGATGGAGTCAGAGCTTGCCAGCTTCGCACCCAGGATGTGGAAATCTTACCCCGCAGCGCCCTGGTCTGGAACCTTGAGGAAATCCAGGCTCTCGGGTGTCTGGAACACTCTGTCTGAGCCAGTGGACTGTTGCCTTGGCAAGGGCGGGCGGGCCATGGAGGTGTACAGGCTTTTCTGATTGGACCTCTGGTTTCCGGGGCCATGGGGGTGTGGCGCAAACTTGTTTTTGATGACTCCATTCTGATGGTATCCTAGAGTCAGGAAAAGAAAAGAAAACAAAGGTTAAGTTTTCTGACCCTTGGCTATAAGGATCTCTGAAGTTCTTCCATTTACTAACCACGTGACTCAGGGCAAGCTATTTGAGCCTTAGTTTCCCCTGAAAAATGGAGAGAACTAGAGCTAATATATTGTGAAAATTAGAGTTAATACATCGTAAACTGCCAGCAGGTGCCTGGGACGCAGGAGACACTCAGCAGATGCTTGTTGAATTTTGACAACAGAATCATCAGATGTTCAGGGTTTCAAAGCTCACAGTCAAGAAAAGGTAAGCTTGCAGGTAGTTGGCAGGCAAATTCATGGGTCTAAGAAAAATTATGAGGTTATGACTCAAAAGGGCTGGCAGGAAGCTGTTGTAAACAGTTGGACATCCATTTCCAGGCTGGTCAGCCTTTCGTTCTCTGCAGGAGAAGGTTGTGTGAGGTACAGTGAGTGCTTCACACGGGCAGGGGAAATGCAGCCACCCACTGGGGCAATCTGGATGGAGCAAGCTCCCGTAGCCAAACAACGGTTCCTAGTCAAGATTACATTAGCTGATAAGTAATGGATCATGGCGATGGGTTCCAAATGATGGACCTTGACTAAAAAGGACACTAGCATTCCAGGCTATGTATGAAGACGTCCTTATCACTTCTCCCACTGACAGCTCTGGAGTGGAGAAGGAAAACAAGGCTCCCCAAGGCACGCTTTGGTGGACCCCACCATAAGACCTCTTCCAACCAGGTTAAGAGAGGAACTCTTTGGTACTAGTGTGATGACCCTTAGTTTATAAGAGGAATAAGGGGTCCAGTTCTGGCTCTGGCAGCTGTGTTGACCTTGAGCGAGATATTTGACTTTTCAGAGTGCCAGCTTCTTCACTAAAGCAATGAGGAGACTGGTCCAGAATCCTTCGGTCACGTCCAGCTTGGACAAGCATTTTCTCTATATTTTTAGATCTTTATCATGCAGAAGTGGATTTTTTCCCCACCCAAATAATAGCTTTTACTTTGAGCTACAGTACTGTAGGGGCTGTGCTTTGACCAGGGTTCCGAAATCTCTCTTTTGTTTCCTCTCACAGGCCAGCCTTGGACTAGACATTTGGGGCAAACAACCTCCCTCTCATCTCAGCCCATTTTCCCTAGCCCCAGGGGTGAGATTTGGGTGGGTCTCCCCACCGAGCACATTTAAGATCCAGGATATAGGTGTAGTTTTTGGGGCGAGGGAGGGCAGTGAGACTCATCCTTATGGAGAAGAGGTGGCACTTACTGCCAAGGATGGCAGCTACAGAGGGGCACGGAGAGCCGGACGGCCTGCAGGGGGCAACACTCCGTGTGGGGTCTCTCTCCTTGCTGCTCGAGACTGACTCGCCAGCCATGAAGTACGTTCAGTAATCGAGGGTGAGCATGTAGAAACTGTCACAGCAGTTTGACAGACACATTTTATGTCTGTTGAATCTAACAGTAAGGCATTTTGTCTTCTATTTTGCATGCTTTTAAAATTCCATTCTTCTAGTAATTCATTTTTATTATGTTTTACAAAAGTATGGTTTGTTATAGATTAGAGATTAAAGAAACAAATAAACAAAACTCAACCTGGTCCTCACCACTGAGAATTTGAGAAGCACTGATCTAAGGGACTGGTCCAGTCATCTCATTCTGATAATGAGAAAACTCGCTTAGAGAGATTAGGAGTTCAAGGTCACAGGTACTTCATGGCCTGATTTGGTCTGAGGCTACTTTGGCCCACCTAGCTGAGAAAAATAAGCTTTCCACGTGGTCCCAGCCAGCTAACCAGCATTCTGCACTCAGAGCTGGCGCATAAGTAGGTAATACAATACTTCTTTGCTTTTCTTAGGTTCCTTTGTGATTATGTATAATTTCAAGAACAGAGGTAGGTGGAGGAGAGACAGCTAAGCTGAGGTGGGATGGGGCACTCCAAAACAGATGAAAATTCGTTCTCACTCCCGGGCACCAGGTCAGTATTGTAACCACAACTGTGAGATTCCAGATCGAAAGTCTAAGGACATGCACTTTACTGCTTATCTTGGACATTGCTTTGAATAGGATTCCATTGTCTAGGATGAATTGAGTCAAGTGTAGTCCCAAGATAACCCTTGCAGACACAGAATCCTAAACCTATTAAGAGCAAACATTCTGGGAACCAACCGTTTTTTATGAACTGAATTTTGTGAGTGATGGGAAAAAACAAAAAAACTGTGAGTTTTTTTTAATGCTCTCCAAACACTAAGCATCTTTGTAAGAGCACAAAGTCTTAAATTGATTCACATTTGGATTTTATTGATCTACATGTTATACTTTTATTATTTAGGAAAACTTAGAAATACTAAACATAAAGCCCAAAAAAGCTTTTGTGTCAATTTTGTAAACCACATATTATTTTACTTCTCTGGAGCAGGTCTCCTGGCTCCTAGCTGCCTAACAATAAAGTTTTTCTACTTATACATTCAGCTCTGCTGAACTAGTTACAAAATAAGGTAGTGGTGTTTGGCTGGAGGTGGGTGGCGGTGGGGCTACACCTAACAAACTCCCATGTCCGCTAAGGAAGCACCCATATCTTAAAAGCTAACAACAACATTCCAGTTGTCACGAACAAGGAACTCCTGTCTGTTACTGATGCAGGAAGTCTTTCCCAGGGGAGTAATATCTCGAGGTAATGGGCTCCGGATTGTTAATTCAGCCGTGGCTCAGTCTCACTAACTCTTACTTTTCCTGAATTTTGGGGTCACAGGTAGGGCCACTGTGTTGGTAGGAACACATCTGGCACGGAAATGGCCCTTGGCTGGTTAATGTGTGTGCATTTACCTGCTAACGAGTTTCTTCCCCAACATAGTTTACAAGCTATGGGTCCAGATTTAGTGGTCCTGGTCTATGGCGCCAAGCCCTGGTGGTGCAGTGGTTAAGAGCTCAGCTCTAACCAAAAGGTCAGCAGTTCAAATCTACCAGCTGCTCCTTGGAAACCCTATGGGAAGGTTCTACTCTGTCCCGTAGGGTCGCTGTGAGTCAGAATCAACTCGCTGGCAGAGGGTTTGGTTTGGTTTGCTCTATGGCACATGCTCAGCTTACCTGGGGGAGGAGGGGCAACTCTCGTCGGGTAGTTGGTATTTTGAATTCCACCGGAATAACCTTTGTTTTGGATTGTGTTCCTTCTGGTAGGACCTAAAATAAACATGCAAGGCAAAGTTAAAATAAGAACTCCTGGCTGGCTTTAGGGCTCCTGAGTTCTTTGGCGATGAAAGCCTTTCGAGAAGTTTGGAACCCAGGTCTCAACTGGACTGGCAGAGGCTGGTTGCAGTGGAGAAGGAATATTTGAGGGAAATGCTGTACTGAACACTACTGGATGGGGGTGGGGCAGGGCTGGAGGATTTGTTTACAGAGGGACACTTCTGAAATGTTAAGAGACAGTGGCTTTCCACTATTAATAATGCCTTACAAAGGTGCTTCTATCTTTGTAGACTTTCAAAAGAGGCAGATGGAACATAGTAAGGTTTGCATTCAGGTTCTGCACGCTGCGCAGAAACGGAACTGCCCATCATCGTCCCTGGCAGAAAGCGTATTCAGGCACCAAGTGCACAACCGCCTAGAGCCGTCCACGGGGGAGTCCGGATTCCAAGTCCTCCGGTTCAGCGCAGCACCCCCGGCGGGCAGGGGCAGGCTTGTACCCTTGACACAGACGAGAAGGAGGTGGAAAACAGGCCAGTGCTACGTGGAACATGATTTCGGGCCAGGGTTAGGGCTGGGATGGCGGAGCCACGGGCCAGGGTTAGGGCTGGGATGGCAGAGCCAAGGGCCGAGGTGTTAGGGCTGGGATGGCAGAGCCAAGGGCCGAGGTGTTAGGGCTGGGATGGCGGAGCCAAGGGCCGAGGTGTTAGGGCTGGGATGGCGGAGCCAAGGGCCGAGGTGTTAGGGCTGGGATGGCGGAGCCATGGGCCAGGGTTAGGGCTGGGATGGCGGAGCCATGGGCCAGGGTTAGGGCTGGGATGGCGGAGCCATGGGCCAGGGTTAGGGCTGGGATGGCAGAGCCATGGGCCAGGGTTAGGACTGGGATGGCGGAGCCATGAGCCAGGGCCAGGGCCAGGGCTGGGATGACGGAGCCATGGGAGCCAGATGAGCTGTCTGCAGAGACATCTGAGTCGGGAAAGGAAACAGTAAGCAAGGGCCCCACGGTCAGGGTTAGACCAGCTGGAAGAGAGCCGTGCAGGGGAATGCTTGTAAAGAGAAGAGCTGTAGCGTAGAGGAGGGTAGGAAGTTAAAAGACAAGCATAGCATAAAGCATAGGAGCTGGCCTCAGGGTTGTGGGGAGGATGCTGGGAGAAGTGACCACACGAGCCCTGGTGATGAATTCCCTTTCAGGACCTAGAGCCAATACTTCCTCCCACAGAGATAGGAAAACACTGTGTTAGACCTTCTCCACTTGGGAGCCTACACACACATTCGCACACCTCCTGCTGATTATTTGCAGTCCTTCCTTGTCCTGCTATGCCCTGGGGTCTGGGCCCTGGGGTCTGTGCCCTGGGATCTGGGCCCTGCAGACTGCTCTGCTTTCCGGCTGATATGGCCGATGGGAGGCACTGGCAGGAGTCTAGGGTGCTGGCCGGAGAGAGGTTGGAGGATTTATCCTGCCTGCTCCCTCTCCACTGGGCCTGCAGTGGCTGCATCCTTCAGCTCAACTGTGTCCTCCTCTTCCTTCAAGCTCGGGGCTAATAACGGTTTCTTACTATTCCACATCCCTGGGTCTCCACTTTGTTCCCTTAACCTTGCTCACACCGCTGTAAATAACCATTTTACTTAAAAATCTCCTAAAAAATTTCAGCTAAATGTGCCATGGGTTTCCTGCAAGGCCCATAAACCGACACACAGCAGCAATTTCCAAGTGGCCATGCACAAGTGAAAGTATAACAGTCTGTATCTGTATTGTATTTACTATGTCACAGTACATGCCTCTGCACACGGCTGTATACTGATTTGGTAAAGGCCTATTTTATAGATGGCATACTCTTCATTGGTCAGACACACAGGATAAATGTTACAAAGATATCTACATTCTATGAATGGACAGCATATACAATTATAATGTGCATGATAAACATAATTTCATAAATATCAATTATCAAAGAGGCCAGTGCAGTTAGACTGGGGCTTGGCCTAGTGGTGATGGGGAAATCTGAGATTTGATTCACGATAACAGTGAAACCATGTAGAGAGATGGCAAATACGGTAAATGCCTTTAAAATTGGCAGAGAAGATAATGTTTGCATTGTTGATGAGATCCAACTGGAAAGGGCTGGGAAACTGGAATCCAACAAGCTTGGATTTGTTTTAAACAGTTAATCCTACAACGCCATCTATACTATCCAGAAGTACTCAATCATTCTGGAAGTGTTAACCCGCCCGTTTTCTCTGGCGTTGGTTTAGTTTGAAATATTCCATTGTGAAGAACATCCCAGCCACCAGGAGCAGCTAGACCTTGTACATATCATCAGTGTTTGGTGAGAAGGGAACTGGGCAGCAGAGCAGGATGAGGCAGGGCCAGGCAGGAGAGCCCAGGAGCACCCCAGCGGCCTGGCACTGGTGGAGGGGGGTGCTCAAGGGGCACTTACGGGAGTTCTTGGGCAGACCGGGTCCAATGCTGACCTGCAGCACCTTGTTACTGGGCTTAAGGATGGCCATGTCGCCGAAGCCTTGGTGGAACTGCACTTGCCGGGAGCCGCCTGCACTCCAGGGACCCCAGTTCTCCTTTTTCAGCTTCAGTTCAAGCCTGGGACAAGCACATTTGTTGGAGTGAACAAGACGGAACAAACCAATGAGAAAATGGTGCTCATCGGCCCCAGCATGGAGATCGCTGCTGGGCAAACCTGGTGTAAAAATGAGGCAGACGGGAGAATCTGAACCCGGCCCGGGGCGCCGAGGATGATGGGCAGAGCGTCCCAGGACACGGCTTGGCTATAGGCGAGCCCACCGGACCATGGGAAGAAACACCTGGGGTCCGGTCCTGTGAGAAACCAGCCCCATCAATGGTGCCATGTCACGCCCTGGTGACACCCACGCAGGTGGCTTCAGGTGGGGCTGCCCAGGGGACAGAAGGAAGGGGAGAATTTCCCGGGCACACCTGCTGTGCTGTGTTCTTGTGCCTCTCTGTTCTCCCTGGGTCTGTGTGGAAGACTGAGATGCCAGACACAGAACAGCTGAAGACTCCTTAGCATAAAATATCAATGCTAATTAACTAGGTTCCAATGAATTAAGGCCGGGGGAAAAGACAAACAATGGGAACCAAAACCCAGATAGGAGGGAGGTTTACACACAATTCCAAAACTCCCACCCAGTTTTCATATTTCCATATTGCCCATATGCCTTGTTGTTGGGTGCCATCAAGTTGATTTCAACTCATAACCACCCTATATGACAGAGTAGAACTTCCCCATAGGGTTTCCTAGACGAAATCTTCATGGGAGCAGATCGCCAAGTCTTTTCTACTGAGGAGCCGCTGATGGGTTCGTACTGCCGACCTTTCAGTTAGCAGCTAAGCACTTAACCACTGCGCCACCAGGGTTCTTTCCCACATACTTACATAATGCAATTCTGAATTTTTTAACTTAAACACTTTTTCATGGGGTAAGACAGGAAAAGATAACTTTAAGTAACTGCATATTATTCTATCAAGTGTCTATCATATTTTTCCTGTACTCCCTTACCACAAATTCCCGGAAATAAATAATGGCACCTGGGATCAAGGGCCATGTTGCTCTTAGGAAAGGCTGTGATGGGTTCACATACCCACCAGTGTCTACGTCACTGCAATCATAGAAGCATTAGTTAGAGCAGGCATCCTTCATGTGGAACTAAGGCTTTGTCTAGGCTTCATTCCTGTGAGTTGGGAGAGACGGCGGGTATCCCACTTTACAGATAAGGACATTTAAGAAGAAAAGTTAATAACTTGTACTCATCAAGTATGAGATTAGAAACTCAACAGCAGGCCAGTGTCTGGTCTATTAGACCACGTTGCCAAAGCAAATGAAGGGGAGCTGACAGACAAGACACTGGTCGTCAGCAGCCGAGTCCCCAAATGTTCTGCACTGATTTCTCCGTCACTTTCTTCTGCTTCCAACGTGACTCTTATCTCGAGGCTGTCCTAAATACAAGGCTTTGATTGGTGATATACAAAATCTGCCTTTCCCTGCCTCACTCTGGTGATCTTTGTCCAAATGATAAAAGGTATCATTCTATGGAGTCATTAGTTCACAGAATCGCAAAAGTGACCTGTTCAAAGTCTGTGACAACTATCTGGATGTTCCCACTGGGGAAGTTGAGGCACCCAGAGCTGAAGCCACTGGAGCCAGACAGGCCCTGCCCGCAGGTCTCCCCTCCTCCCAGGCCCGGACCTTGGGCTGAGCACAAGCTCCTTTTAGTTGTATTTAGAAGTTTGGGGCCCAGATCTCAACTTACGTATTGCTGAATTTCAGAGGTAGTTGCTTCTGGGTTTTTTCCTCATAACGCTTTGCTAAGAGGCTTAAGAATTCCGTTTTGAAGACAGATTCAAGCAAACTGTCATACTCTTGCTCGTGGAGAATAAAAATGTCATCCTGCATAGTACTGTGAAGAGATTGAACAGACTCGGTGAGAGTCTAAACAAACTTTTGTTTATTCCCTTATTTTTAACTCATTTTTTACCTTGTAAGACAGTACTAGATTTCATACAGTCTTTCTCTCTGTAATAATTAACACACGACAATTTAACCAAAAACCACTGCTGTCGAGTCGATTCCAACTCATAGCGACCCTATACGACAGAGAACTACCCTGTAGGGTTTCCAAGGCTATAAATCTTTACTGAAGCAGACCGCCACGTCTTTCTCCCGTGGAGCGGCTGGAAGGTTCAAACCACTGCTGTTTTGGTTAGCAGCTGAGTGCTTAACCTCTGCTCCACCAGGGTTCCTTAAACACGAAAACAGTCAATTAACATATAACAGAATTGCTGAAATCTGTTTTCGAGAGCAGTTCACAGTCTATCAAAAGCATAATTCTACAGGATTTTTAACACCAAAAATTTAAGGACCATTTAGTCTATATAAAAAAGGAATCCATTTTCAAATTCAATCTCCATGTTCTTAAGATCATAAAATACATCAGAAATTAAGACTCGAAATCCAGAAAGTCATAAATAGGATGCGGCTGAAAAGGAACAATTTTCTAGAAAGTCTCCAGTTAATAGAATTTACGACACGGTTGTAGCTATTGTGATAAATTCTAACTTGAAGAGCTGTAAGCTCGGTTATCAAATGCGAAGCCAACATCCTGGCATTCGTGTGCGTTTATTAGGAGCCTGCCGCCATATCACGTTCTGCTTATACTTTGTGCCAGGTGCTGCGAGACCGTACAGATGCATCCAAGTCCAGAGATACACAGCACGGCTGTGCGAACAGCAGCAAGCACCCGTCATCACCTTCCAGCTGATGAATTTCATGGGACAAGGAAAGAACACACCTTTGCAGGAACTGCATATTTAGACAGGGTGGGAGAGTGTGAGGGGCTGGAGGGGGGTTAGAGGAGAGAAGCAGAGAAAAAGCCAGTCCCGGGGCAATGCTTAGTGGTAGGCGGAGATGGACTAGACTCGGTTCTGTCTCCAGGCCTGGCTAGACCTGGGGAAGCTACAGCACACATATATCTGAGAGCTGCTCTCCCTAGCTCAGCGAGGCTACCACCCCAAAGGCTTCATGTTATACACGTTTCCAATGACCTCCAAGTACCTCTGTCAAAGACCAAGGTAGGCCTCGAGAGGATGACGTTAATAGGGACTTTCCCAAATAAATAAATAAATAAATAAATAAATAAATAAATAAATAAATAAATAAATAAAACCCGTTGCCGTCGAGTCGATTCTGGCACATGGTATTAAAAATAAATAAGTGATCACCCAAGAAGAAAAAAGCCAATGGGCTGGGAGGTTCCCTGTAAAAAGGCAAGTTAGTGTTAGGCTGAATACAGAGCCTAAGGCAAATAGAAATGAAAGCTGCTGGTGGGGTGGGGGACACTGAAGCTCGGGAGCACAGGACAGATACAGACTCCAGCCTGGAGAAGAAACTGGGGCTAAGGTGTATACCGAAAGTAACTCCAGACCAAGAGGTTGTGAATGGGCATTCTTGCAATTACAAGTCTCCCCCATGCCCTAAGCAAAGAAATAAAGTAAATAAATACATGAACCTACTTCAATGAATTAACCAGGGTAACATGTGAATCTCTCAAACTGCAGGAAAGGTCAAAGAGATGGTTCTTTTAGCAACCAGAGCTGAGCTGCATCGCCCAGGAGCTGTGATCTCTTCGAGGGGGTCCTGGTACCCCTGCACCAGCAGGATTACTGTGGTCAGGGGCAGATTACCCAATAAGCCAGGTATGCACGGCCTTACAGTAAGCAAGGTACACAAGGGCTTAATTGTGCTTACTTACTAATCCGTAGGGCACCATTTCACATGGGTTTCACCACATCTTTGATGTAGTAAAAAACAGGTGAAATGGTGCCTTACAGATTAATAAGTAAGCACAAGTAAGCTGGTGCATACCTGGCTTATTGGGTAATCCGTCCCTGACTGTGGCTGTGACAAAGCCTGAGGGGCGATACAAGCGGGGCCCGTGGAGGACTGGGGTTTGGAGAGAATCTCTGATATCGAGGATTCATCCTCTGTGTATAATCTGATACATTCAAACTGTAGCTCCTGTGGTCTCTTTGTCTAGTCCTATGAATATGACAAGGTCAGGGCCACGGGTCCTCCCTAGGCTGGCTTGTCAGAAATCTCTGCCGTCTCCCTAGGGACTGGGCTGAGGCAAGGAGCTAACGATCGGCAGCTGACTAAGCAAGTAGCTGTCGCTGCAGCCTCTCTCCCTGAAACCTCAGCATCTCTGTTTTCCTGCAGGAATCCACGGGAGAGGAAAGGTCTAATGCAGAACCGTAGCACAACTGGAATGTGAAAGCACAAAATGGCGGCACGTACAAACCACAGTGAAAGACTGGAGCAAACTAGAGATACCAGCGTTAGGGGAGTGGAGCTTGGCCTTCCACGGCCTGTTTACTCAGGAATATTCTTATGTCAGACAGTCCTCCTTGGAGGTGCAGTCAGAATGCTTTATGGACATTTTTTGAGGAATAATGGCCATTTGGGTGGCGCACTCACTCATTATTATTATGTCAAGAGTTTGTTTTCAAACATCCCTCCATCACGGCCATGCTTCCTGCCTGCTGATAGCTGGGATACAGGTCTTGCTGTTGTGATGAAGACTGACTAATGGCAATTTAAACAACATAGTGTTTTTACCTGTCACTCAACAGCACGTGCAAAAGCAATTCAGGATCAACATGTCAGTTCTAGAGTGCCTGGAAGCCAGGCACCTACTCCTTCCCTTTAAAGGCATGACCTGGAATTCGTTCAATCACTTCTGCTCATAGCCCATTGGCCAGAACATTGTCACATGGTACACTTGTACTTACTGCTTGTACCAAGGAGGCCTGGGGAATGTAGTTTTTGGTTAAGCAGCAGCTACGTATAGAGACCAGGTATTGGGGGAGAGCCCACAATCTCCACTCTACCTGTCTTACTCCAAACTTTTCCAAAACTAGAGATCTTTTCCAAAAGGTTGAGAATTCCAAAAGGTCGGTCACAAAACTACTATAATCTTCCTGTTTCTGGTTAGATGAAAACCCTTGAAATTGTCTTAACCACTTTAACTAGCAAATTCAAAAATCCAAACAGCACTATGTAAAAGCTGCAATGGTAAAATAATAAGCATCACTTTTGGGGTGTGTGGGGTGAGGAACCCTCGAATCTCCTTTCTGTTTTAGTTGCTTTGACATGTCTGCACATGTCTGGTTGCCTGGCTGCACTTTAGGCAGGATGGTGATTATGCAACGGGGTTAAATGAACCCAACCCAAGTCACCTTGGTTGGTTTAATGTGCTTAGATTCACTGAGTTTCACGACCATAAAGAAAAAAAGCAAGCAAGCCAAAAACTTCAAGGTCAATTATCAGCACGAGTCAGGAAATAGGAAAAGATGTGTTTGGACACTTTGACTTCAACCATCAAATTCAAAATCCCTCCCTCAGTGACCCAGGCCTGAGAGTTAGTGAAATCATCTTCACTTGGCCAAAGTCTCAGCTTATTCTCCTCTCCTCAGCCCATGCTCCTAGACCTGAAAACAAAGCTTCTATGTTTATTTATTCTAAAAAGTCAGACTCATCTTTGGACTTCACCCATCTTACTCATATGCTCAAGCTGTAATTCCTTACTCATGGTTGATGCTGTACCCTTTGCAGACAGATCCTTTACTAGTCCTTGGTTTGGCTCTGTGCTTATTTTTTCTTTCCCCATCTTTGTGGTCTATGGCTGTATTGCCAACAACACTAGAAAATCTTGTTTTACTCCCTTAACCGATATCTTCTTCACAAAAATCTTAGTTACTGTCTTAGTTATCTAGTGCTGCTATAGCAGAAATACCACAAGTGGGTGGCTTTAACAAACAGAAATTTATTCTCTCACAGTTTAGGAGGCTGTTGTTGTTAGGTGCTGTCGAGTCAGTTCTGACTCATAGTGACCCTATGAACAACAGAACGAAACACTGCCTGGTCCTGCACCATCCTCACAGTTGTTATGCTTGAGCCCATTGTTGCAGCCACTGTGTCAATCCATCTCGTTGAGGGTCTTCCTCTTTTTTGCTGACCCTCTACCAAGCATGATGTCCTTCTCCAGGGACTGATCCCTCTTGATAACACGTCCAAAGTATATGAGACATAGTCTTGCCATCCTTGCTTCTAAGGAACATTCTGGTTGTACTTCTGTCAAGACAGATTTGTTCATTCTTTTGGCAGTCCATGGTATATTCAATATTCTTTGCCAACACCACAATGCAAAGGTGTCAGTTCTTCGATCTTCCTTATTCATTGTCCAGCTTTTGCATGCATTAGGAGGCTAGAAGTCTGAACTCAAGAGTGCTGGCTCTAGGGGAAGGCTTTCTCTCTCTGTTGGCTCTGGAGGAAGGTCCTTGTCTCTTCAGCTTCTCCTTCTTGGTTCCTTGGAGATCTCCATGTGTCTTAGCAGCTATCTTCCCCCATCTCTCTCTGTCTGTCTCTGCTTACTTGCTTAATCACTTTAATATCTCAAAATACACCCTATACCAATCCTGCCTCATTAACAGAACAAACACAACCCATTCTCAAATAGGATTATAACCACAGGCATAGAGGTTAAGATTTACAACACATATTTTTTGGGGACATAAATTCAATCCATAACAGCTACAAAAAAATTCAGTAAAGTCCTAATGGTTTTTTTTAAAAGCTGAAAAAGCAACTTCCAAAGACAGCCCTGTCTTTATTTAAGCCTTTATAAAATGTTCTTCCTATGCTCCTTGTAGTAAACTGGAAAATACAGAGGAGAATAAAGAAAAAAATAAAACTCACCCAGAATCCCATCACTCAGAGAAACCAGTGGCACCTTTAGATCCTTGTTAATTTCTCTGAGAAAGCTTCAGGGGTGGTGTGCCCTCCTCGAAGAAGCCTCCCCTGACCCCCCAGGTGAAAGGGGACTCCCCCCTCTTTGGTGTCCCG